CATAAGGGACACAGCGTCAGACAAGGTATCGCCCTGGCTTCACAGAGCATCAGGCTAATTGACTTAAAGTCACATCTTCCTGGATGGTGGAGGAAGGGGCACAATGAGCTAAAGTAACTGACTCCAAGTCACACGGTCAAAGAAATACATCTTCAGTTTCCAGATTTTGTTTGAAAATAGGAGTGAAGTGATCCAAAGATTAGCTATTTAGAAACAGGGATGTATTTACAAATAAACAGAAAAGGTTCATTCATTCTTGTCAAGTCATAAAACTACCCCCAAATGAAAAGATCTGAAGAAACATTACGGGTGATGAATAAATAGGCAGGACCCTCCTTTTGACGTACACTTTCTGTTTATGTCTAGACACCTCCGTAAGTTTTCTTTTTTTCATCCTGCTCTCTGAATGGTACTGGTCTTAGCTTCTTCCTTTTCTCCAGGTACATACTCTCTTTGGTGACCTATTTACTCTCTAGGTCTCTACTGTCCGTTTGCTGTTGATCACATAGATCTTTTTAGCTCTGAATCTGCTTACACAATTGTATAGTGAATATTCCTACGAAAATGTCTCATAGGTGTCTTATGTTTATCATATCTAGAGAGGAATTTCTCTTTTTTTACTCAGATATATTATGCACTCTTTCCACTTTTCTACATCTTCCCCTTATCTGTCTAGACTGACAGCAGTCTGCATCATTGTCTTGGGCAAAAGTACGCAAACTTGAGGTAGAGAAATGAACATGAGTGATGAAGACATTTTTCCATGTTGTGCTTGAATTATTTCCTGCTGTCTGGCTGATCTTCTGTTTCTCCTACCCTCCAAGTCCACACTTGATTGAATCATGTAAAATTACCATTTTTAAAGGTAAAAACATGGTCAAATATCAGCAATTACATATAATATAATTAATTACTACTTATTGTGATAAGATGTCTTGTAAAATTCTCTTATTTTTAAAGAGTGTAAACACAGTAACACTAATGCAGATGTTGAAGTTAATATGTTTCTAAGATAAAACAGAACTAACTCCTAGGGAATTAGCCTTGTATATTGTATTTTCAGGTGAATTTGAGGAATTGGTTGGTGGGGGGAGGGTCTGAGATTCATTATCCTGTAAATACAATTGTTTCTACATTGAAAAGAAAACTTGAAACAATATAGAGAAACTCTAAACTATAGTTAAGACACAATGATTTTTTTCTTTAGGATAATTGTCACATCTAAGAACTTCGCATAAAAAATTTTTTTAAACCATTTTTATTTCAACTAGGAAATATCCTGACTTTATACCAGTCTTTAGTGAATAAGTAGGATGTGGTTACTTTAAAAAATAGAACCTGAGTATTTTATAGTTTTTACTGACTTTTGGGGAAAAAACAGTATTTCTTTTCAGTTCTAACAAGTGATTTATTATACATATGGCTTTTTGGCCTTCTGAATTTCCACTTTAGCTAACAAATCTTTAGACTATAACCTATACCATTCTGCAAAAAAGTGAAACGTTTTCAATTATTGTAGTTATCTAGGTCTTGCCCTATAGCATGGCACATTCCTGCTAAAAGCTTTGTTGTTTTCTTAAATATGTTTTAGATGTGCAGTCTGTATTTTGAAACGTTTTTAAATGAAAATTCTTAGTCAAAAAGATACAAATTGCTGATAGTTCTTATAAGTTAAGGCTACGGTTTCAGTGACTACTCAGTGTTCATCCTTGTCACCCCTTCCCACATAACCCTGATTTCTCTCTTCCTGAAACTTTTTCCTTCTTTAGCTTTCTTTGCGCAGTCGTGGTTCTCCTCCTCTCCGACTCCTTTGTTTTCTCTTCTGTCTCTTGCCTCCAAAGAATCTTCATTAAGATTCCTGCTGTTTCTCTTTTATTATTACTGTATGTACCACATCATTCTTGTGATTTCAGCAGTTGATTTTTCGATGAACTTACAAACTCTTATTTCAGCATAAACTCTATAAGTGCCACAATTGTCCCGTGGCTTAATTCATCATCTTTCCTGTAACACTGGCTTCTCCCTTGAGCCACTGTTTCTTGGAATCATGATACCATTGTCATAGAAGTGTTACACTTAGCCTGGACGGTTACAGTGGCTTCTAACTCTTCACACTATCTTCTATTTTTTCCCGTTTCCACACATTGAACACAATGTTGTTGAATTACTATCCATTCAGTACAGATATGATTACATTCCTCCTTTACTCAAACCAACAGTGATTCTTCTACAAACATAAATTCTTTCTGCGAACACCACAAACACAAATACCTCACTTGGCAGTCAAAATCCTCAAGAGTGTATCACCAATACATTTATCCCAGTCTCGTTTGTGCGCATATCCTGTACTCCAGTCTGGATTTGCTTTATGTTTGACAAATGTTTCATCATTTGCTACCTCCCACTTTCTGTTCAAATCATTCCCTCGACTCTGAATGCACTTTCACCATTTGTCTTGTCAACGGTTAGCCATACCTCAAATACTGCGTTCTCTGTAAAGCTTTTCCTTATGTTCTCAACCAGATAGGCTCTCCCCTGCCTTTGCGTTATGTTGGCTTTTACTTTTTCTTCCCTTAAATTACAGAGAATATACTTTTTCCTCATCCAGCTTTCTCATCTTTGTATCCTCTCCACCTCTTAGCACAGGGCTTAATACATGGACAAGTAAACATGCATTTAATTTTATTTCCTACAGATCACTTTACATTTATTGAAGAAGTTAATTTGCAATCTAAACCAGAAGTTGATTCAGTGTATTTTATACCATCTTCATTTATAAAATGGTTTCTGTGAGACTATCTCTTCAATAGGCCAATTGAGCTAGGTTATAGTTTTTCATTTCATATTTTAATTCACTCTATTTTTAGGAGACTGATAATGGCTGTAACAAGTAAACTTAACATTTTTTGTAACCTCAATGTGAAGAGAAGTTGTTTTTGCTCGTGTTAATAGTCCAGTACAGCTATAATCAGGTAGCTCTCCCCTATGAAGTGATTCAGAAGCCCAAGTTCTTTGTTCTTTCAGCTCTACCATCTTCTAGGGCCCTTAGTACACGGGTTAAAAGAAAGTGAAGGAAATTGCCTGTTTCTCAGACAAATAAATGCCAGATTTCATCAATGTAAAAATACACATTACGTCAGTCACGTTAAGTTTTGCTTCAGTAAGAAACAACCTCAGAATATGAGTGGCTCGCAACAACAGAGGTTTATTTCTTACTTGCACTTTATAGACTGCTGGTTGAGTGTGGCTCTATTCTGTCTCTTCTGCACTCTGACACCCAGGCTTCAGGAGCAGCTCCTGTCTGGGACATGGCTGGCCTCATGTAGAAGGAAAAAGTAAACTGACTTAAAAAAAAAATGGCACATATCACTTCTGCACACTCTCGTTTTCATTTGGTTGAAGTAAGTTACCTAGAGAAGCCTGATGTCAGTGAGATGGAGGATTTTATTTCTCCCATTGACACTGCAAATCCCGTGGCCAAGTCTGATGGTGACAACACAGGGATGTACGCATGTGTACTCTTACCACAGAAAGGAGCAGTGGGTATTTTTAACAATCATACACTTCACTATACTTTATTCACATTTTAATATTTGTAAAATCGGGATATTCTTACAGTCAGTGGTGAATTATAATTACTTGGCAGAATCTTTTTTTCTGTTTAGAGATATAAAAATAATGCTGTATCTTACAATCAATACATCTTAGATTTAAGGAAAGTTGATAGACCTCAAGTCTAAATGTATTCGTCTGATTCACCTATTGATTTTCAAGTGTGTGGATAGTTTTCAAATGAAACAATAATGTAGATTTAAAGGATAAATAGATTTAAAGCCTATGTTGTTGAGTTTTCCTTTTACCGCTGATCTAAAGCTGTTTTAGAGTACTCTTCAGTTCTGTAGTAGGGACAGCTATAAAAACAGTAGAAAAAAAAATGAGTGAGAGAAATAATGGAATAGAATAGAGTTTGTAAACTAGCCACATATAAAATGTTACAAGAATGACACCACATTTTTTTTGAATTTGACACCTAAAGTAAAGGCAATAAAAACAAAAGTAAGTCAAACTCAAAAGCTTCTATACAACCAAGGAAAAGGATTATGTCCTCCTTAGAACGCTTGTGCTGTGTCGCTTTCTTTGCTTTCTGTCCAACTTGAAGCAGAATCCAGGAAGACAGAGGGAGATGAACCTCTCACCTGTTCGCTCTGAAACCGTGTTCCTGACGGCCGCCTTTCTTCTGCCAAATTCGTTCTTTCATCAGGCTCTTTACTCTTCCTACAACCCTCTTCCTCCTTCCTTCGCTTGGCCCACTGGCCTCTCCTCATTCTTCAGCTTTTAGTTTAAATGTCAGGCCTCAGGTTTACCCTGACCATCTTCTCTACCTCACAGTTGTTCCCTTTATGAACTTACATCATAATTTGTAATTATTCACTTTCTGATTTAGCTGTTTTTGTCTGTTTACAATTCTTTTTGCCTCATGAGGGCGGGGCCTAGGTCCTCCTTGCCTACTAATGAAATCTCAGCAGCGAGAGTGGCACGGAGCAGGCACCACATGTTTTTTGAATGAATTGGTTGGGGGGTGCTATTCCCTCATGCACTGAGGACCTTTCAGAAAGCTTTCAGGTCATTTCCAAGTTGAAATGATTTCTTAAGCTGATGTGTCCACATCAGGAAGCTATGCAAACTGCAGGAGGTTTTGTAACAGCCGCTGGATTGTAAGCTCTGTGAGGACAGGGACTACACTTGAATTTGACACTCGGTGCTTCCCATCATAGGGCCTGTCACATATTAGACACTCATATATATTTCTTGATTGAGTGAATAGTTAATTCTGGTGTAAAGTCATAGGCTGGACACCAATAGTAGCAGAAATTTTACTCTAAGATAAAATTTTGGATAAATTAGAGAGAAACATAATGTTTACAGGTAACTTAAAACCGGTATGCTATAACAGCAATGCAATACATGTGTATCTTCTGTTATATTTTTTTTCCTTAAAGGGACCTATTGGTTTACCTGGAGAGGTTGGGATGACTGGGAGCATTGGTGAAAAGGTAATTTCTTTCATTATTTTGTTCAATAGTAAGGATTCTAAGCTAAACTCAAAGGAGAGACATCCATGTGATATTTTATGCATTAGAAATCATTCATAACTTAAAACATATTACCTGTATTGAATATCTTAAATATATTGAAATATAGTTAATAGCAGATATGTTTCTGATTTTTAAAAGGCAGAATACTCATTTGGTTATAATGATGTGCTCTGAAGACAAAAGATGAAATTGGTGGTCTAGGTTTATGACTAGAAAATATTTAAAGATACTTTCTGAGAACAAGCCCCTAAAGGAAACAGTTTTGAAAGAGAAGAATAAGTTATCACTTTACCTGATCCAAGTTTTAGTCACAATCTCTTTATTTCCACTTGGAATCCAGTATGAAGTTATTCATGGATCTTTTTGGCTGTTGTGATGGAAATTGTAATTTGCTTAAAGATTTCCTAGAAATTATTATCTTGGGAATGATTTTCCATATTGAGGTTCAATTTAGGAAAGTTTAAAAAAAGAAAGAAAGAAAGAAAGAATTCCTCTCTTGAAACCAGCAAGGGTATTTTTTGAAACTTTTTTAATGGAGTCTTATAATGGACCAGTGGGTAATAAACCCAAAACTTCAGCTCTTTGACTGAAACCTGACTTGCTGAATATAAATTGTAAGCATAGTAGTCTAACGCAGTTACTGTGCAAGGCCACTGTTTGTGAATAATTAAGTAGAGCCAGGATTAGAAGTGAATTACATAATATTCCAGTTATTTCCATCTGAAATTTTTAAGTCAAAATCAACATATCTAAAATTCATCATTTTTTCCCACATCCAAACTTGTCTCTACCCAATTATCTCATTTCTGTTAGTGCCTTATACCTATCTCTGTTCTAGTTCCCCAGGATAGATAGAGTGAACGCATCTTTGCGTTTCCTTTTCCTCCATCCTGTGTGACGTATCTTAGAGGTTTTTCTTTACAGTTTAATCCTAATAGTCAATCCAAAGCAGCCCCCTCAGACATACTCTTATTAATCACACTCACCCTACCCTTCCCCGTTCTATCTTCTAATCCAGCCTACACATGATATGCAGAAGACTGATTTTGATGGGTCATGATGGAGCATTTTGAAAAACCTTCATTAGCTCCCTGTTGTTTAGACTGTTCACTCCTCTGCTTTGCTGTCAAGATACTACATGATTTTGACTTAATCAGTTCATGCAACAATTTTTCTAATATTCCCTGGTATACGTCTTTCTTGCTCCTCATCTCATATATTACATGCTTGTTCCTATTCTTATGCTTACTGTTTTCTTGGTTTAGAGCATCCTCTCCCCTTCCCTCTATTTATTCACAGCCAAAATATTAAATTCCCATCTCCTCTATAAAGTCTTCGCAGATGATTCTAATCCTACCCTTCCTGGACTTAAAATAAGTACTGCACAATTTAAAAGTTAATCGTCCTTTAATTGATTCATCTTTGTTAATGTCATAGCTCCAGTTCCTTGTGGGTAGACTCTAAGTCAAGTTATTGTTATATTCCTCCAACTGTCAGAACATGAAAAGTGCTTAATACGTATTTATTTATGTTTTGTTAATAATGAAACAAATATAAAATGACCTCAGTTCAAAAAATTTAGATGGTGTTTGCAGTTTTTCTCGTTCTGATTTAGTTACCTTTGTGCTAAGTCGAATCTCCTACACTGACATTTTCAAAATCCTTGGAATTTCAATGTGTGTCAGTTTAGACCTTTAATCTGCTGTGGCTTATTTGATTATTAAGATTATGCTTAATTGTGGTGGACAGACTACAGAAATAAATTTTTGTTCAGTGGTTATACACTTAGTTAATTTTTACAATATGCTTTCATGCTTTTACTATTCTCATCTGTTATGTCTCAAAATTGTAAGCATTTCTGCCTGCAAAACTTTGGCATATGATGCATGCTTAATTTTAAAGCCCGTTTATTCATAATTTCTATTTTCTTCATTGTAATAAGGCTTTAGTATTTTATCCTATCCCTTGGAAAGTATCTTAAGAGGATTCTTATTATAAGAAAAATATAGCAACTTTACAGTAAAAATGCAAAATTTATAAATTTGAAGATCAATGAAAATGAGGATGAGTTTCCTGTCTAGGTTTGGCTCTTTCATGACTGATTAACATGTCTCAATGTTTGGCTTTTTTCTTTGTTTTAAAAGGGAGAGCGTGGAAGTCCAGGTCCACTAGGTCCCCAAGGGGAGAAGGGTGTTATGGTAAGAGCTCAGTGATTTGAAGACATGCTTCCAAAGAACATAATAGAGTTAAGGCATTTCAGAGGGGGAATTGACTTGAATGAAATTTAAGTAAGTGAAAAATGATATTTTATAGTAAATTTCCATTAGAATTTTCTTCTCCTCTAAGCAGTTTACTATTCAGAATGCTGAATGCTGATTGGCACTAAAAAGCATGCAAATCAGATGGCTTGGTCAAATGAATCTATAGTTTTAAAGAGAAGGATTAAACCATCACAAATTAGCTTAAGTGGATGAAGAGGAAAATTCAATTAAGATTCTACTTTTCTTTTATAACTTATCTTTTATATTGCATGTATCATCATTACCACTTTTCCTAAGTTTGTAGTCAGGAGGTAATTCTCTGATATATGAAGGATCAGAATCTAGAATTCATCTTACATTCTTATACCTTTAAGACAGTAATAACTGATACATTTTTGGAAGGGGTTACTTTCTCTTTTTTTTTAGTTGAAGTATAGTCAGTTAC